GTCAGAGGACAGGGAGCGGGGTGTGTGTGGATGGGGCAGGGGTCCCAGAGGGGCCGTCAGGGAACAGGGGGGTTGGATGGGCAGGAGTCCCGGGGAGGGTGGGAGGCATATAGGAGGTGGGGGCCGGGCCACGACCCCCTCTCCTAACCGGCCCTCCATACAATTTATAAAACCCGATGCTGCCCTCAGGCCAAAAAGTTTGCCCGCCCCTGATCTAGTCCGATGCTCTTTTAAGTACATAATTAATTAAAAGTTTGTTTGTTTTTAATTAGCATAGAAGAGGAATAAAACACATTTTTACTGGCTATAGCAAATTATTAATGCACAATCTTCTGATTTCTCTCAAAAAAACACATGCAATCTTCTTAATCTTTTAAGGTTTTATATGATCAGCAGTGCTTGGTGTTATCTAAGAAACTCATATCCAATCCTGTGACAGGGTTCTCTCTTCCTCATACAGTTTCAATTTCACTTTATGCGAAAACTTGAGAAATTAGCAAAGAGTGATTGTGACGTTGCACTCTATATGATTTTATAAAAATATGCTAATGAGTGTGAATATAATGTAACTGGAATATGCTTCATGCAAAAGGTCTCTTGTAAGGTATCATTACAAAGTTTATAATCTACTGAGTGGTGTCGTCCTATCTGTATAAATGTATCACTCTTGTATCTGAAACTAGAAATATGAAACATAACACTGAGGTCCTATTGTAGTTATGCAAAGTGTGGGCCATTAATGGTGGTTTGGAATCTTGATGGCTCCCATTAACCAGGACAATTGTCTGTAGATGGCTCTGTTTTACTTGCAAGTCTTCCTGTATACCTGTGTGCTGGCAAGTGGGTAATGAAGTCTTACAGTGACATGTTATCATGTCACCTGAACTGGAATCCATCTTTAACCTGGTGTTTTTCCATTTAGAAGGAGGGGTGGGAACCCAGAGAGGGACAAAGGATTCCTGTCTTATGCAAAAGCTATATAAGTGGGTAGAAGAGAACAAAGGGGGCGGCCATCATGAGAAATCCCCTAGCTACCACCTGAGCTGGAACAAGGGCTATACCAGGGGAAAGGATTGTGCCCGGATAAGGAAGGCATCCAGTCTCTGAAAGAAACTTTTTGAAACATCTCTGAGGGTGAGATTTTATCTGTATTCAGTTTTATTACTGTATTAGGAATAGACTTGCAGGTTTTATTTTATTTTACTTGGTAATTCACTTTGTTCTGTCTGCTATTACTTGAAACCACTTAAATCCTACTTTCTGTATTTAATAAAAATCACTTTTTACTTATTAATTAACCCAGAGTATGTATTAATACCGGGGAAGGGGGGTGCAAATAGCTGTGCATCTCTCTCTATCAGTGTTATAGAGGGCGAACAATTTATGAGTTTACCCTGTATAAGCTTTATACAGGGGGAAACGGATTTATTTGGGGTTTGGACCCCATTGGGAGTTGAGTATCTGAGTGTTAAAGACAGGAACACTTCTTAAGTGGCTTTCAGTTAAGTCTGCAGCTTTGGGGCACGTGGTTCAGACCCTCGGTCTGTCTGTGTTGGAGCAGACTGGCGTGTCTGGCTCAACAAGACAGGGTGCTGGAGTCCCAAGCGGGCAGGGAAAGCAGGGGCAGAAGTAGTCTTGGCACATCAGTTGGCAGCCCAAAGGGGGTTTCTGTGATCCAACCCAACACAGTGATTATTCATCAACCTTTTGGAAAACAGCAGACATTTGCTGGTTTTGATTTGTACACAGACCCCCCTCGCCACACCCTATCCCTACCCCGCCTCTACCCACACAGGGTGTTCATTACATTCCTTGACATCTCTGAAACAGACTGAGCCTATACTGGAAAAATGTGGATGTGTACTACACCGTTAGAACAGCTTCACTGGCAGTACAAGAGTGAAAGTGGTAGCATAATAGGACACAAGCATTTTTACCATTCTTAGCTAACCGTGCACTGAGTTCAATTTTTACATGTCCAATTTTCCTACTGTAGACAAGGCCTACTGTGCTGTATTGTGGATAAACTTCCTACTTTACCCACAGGACTGTGTGTGTAAACTAGAAATAGGTGATGAGATCCCTTTAAATTTTTCATTGCTGTTTATGGAATATGTTGGATTTGCAACACTGGAACTGAAATGTTCTAATTATCCACTGAACAGGCACCGGTGCAAGTTTCTCTGTACTGTCCTGCCAAATTACCTCAACCTTAAAATGGGTCATTTCAAATGATACAGAAGCTGACCTATGTTTGTACTTTCTCATCCCTTGGCTCTTCCACTAAAAAAAAATCTACCTATCTAGTTGTGACGTTATCTGATTAAAATATGACCATGTAGATCATTGTTGCTACCACTGTTATATAATTGCAACAAATCTTGTACAAAGTATGTCAAGTAAGTGTCTATGGAAAGCTTATGATTTGCTGAATATGATTATGCTATTTGTATGCATGTATTATTTTTTTATCTGAAGTTCTGAATATTAACTATGTATCTGTATTTCAAATGTTTGTTCCTGTGGTAACACGCACAAGGTATTTAGCCTGCACATCTTGAAGGGACTATTCAAGTTAAATGACCCACCAAGGTACACTTAACTCACAATGCACCATGGAAGACACCCATCCACACCTGATGAACTTTCATGTGAATATTCTGACTAGAGTATGGGTAATAGCCTTGACTAAGCAAAGAGTTCATGGACATGTGACTTGCCTAGCTGACTCCAAACACCATCTTGTTACCTGTAATTGTCCACAAAGTAGAACAATGGGTTCCCCTTCACTTGGCAGAAGTTATAAAAGGCCCTGGAAACATCTCCATTTTGTCCTCCTCAAAACTCTGGACTTGTACTAATGGGAGCATTCTAACCAAGGGACTGAGGACCTTCCAATGATTTGGAAGCAACCAGAGACAACTCAGCAGTTTATTTCATCACTGCTACAAGCCTGATCCAAGAACTTTGCATTTATTATATGTATTTGATTCCTTTAACCAATTTTAACTCTCACTTTTCTTTTTTATAAATAAACCTTTAGATACTAGATACTAAAGGATTGGCAACAGTATGATTATTGGGTAAAGATCTGAGTTATATATTGACCTGGGTATGCGGCTGGTCCTTTGGGATCAGAAGAACCCTTTTGTTTGATGAAATTGGTTTTAAAGAACCACTCATCATTAAGTCTAGGTGTCTGGGGGTACGTCTTCACTTACATCCGGGTCCGGATGTAAGCAATCGGTTTTCTGAGTTCGATTTATCGCGTCTGGTTAAGACGCGATAAATCGATCCCGGAAGTGCCCCGGATCGATCCCGGAAGTGCTCGCCGTCGACGCTGGTACTCCAGCTCGGCGAGCGGAGTACGCAGCATCGACGGGGGAGCCTTCCTGCCGCGTCTGGACCGCGGTAACTTCGGACTAAGGTACTTCGAATTCAGCTACGTTATTAACATAGCTGAATTTGCGTACCTTAGTCCGAAGTGGGGGGGTTAGTGTAGACCAGGCCTGGGTGTTGAATCCATGACTGGAATACCTAAGGAGGCTGCATTTCTGACTTCTTGTTAGCCAGTATGGTGAGACAGAAGTTTACTTTTGTTGCTGGATTGGTATATCTCATGGAAGAATAACCACCGGTTTTGGGGCATCTGCCCTTTTTCCATCAGCTTGTCCTGAATTTGGTATTCTCAATTGTGACCCACAGAGACACAGTGACACTAGTACGTTATTTGCTTTCATCAAATTGGGCATTTATGACAGTGATTTTGGGGTTTAGGTCAATTGTTCACATGGAACAAGGGCATATATCAAACAATTAAGATTTTACACCATTATTACTATTTCAATCAAGGACCTGATTTTTTTCCAAGCCAAAATAATTATATGGATATTATGGATGCACATATACAGGTCTGAAAGTAGTTATACAGTATAGGCTATTCCCCTTCCAGTATGGGAACAAACAATATTGGTATAAGTAATGTATTTTTACCGATGGACAACTGCATCCACTGGAAGGGGGACTGTACCACTTAAACTATACCAGTGTAGTTAAAAAAGTACAACTTGTGTGCTTACTCAAAGTTGTTGACTTTGGGTCCCAACCAGCGGCCTAGAGGTGAACACCACCACACATAACTGTAAATCCCTTGCAACCCTAGCAACCTATGCAGGTTTTGTAAGGGAGGGCGGGGGGGAGAGGAGAAGAAATCTGCAAGGTGTTTGAGACCAAGGCACATTTCTGTTGACTGTCTAGTCCAATCTGAACAAAGCCAGGGGCTGGTGTATAGCACGCTGGTGCCATCCACCATTTTAAATAGCATCCATGGGAGTTAGGATTCATTCCCTGTCCTCCAAAACTCGTTCCTCTCCTCCCCACGCCTCCCAGTGCCGGCTCAGCTAGGGCTTTCTATTTTCACTCCCCCACCTCTTAACTGTTTGCACTGGAGCGTCCTAGACTGCCAGGTCCTCAGGGCGGGGCCCTGACTAAACACACCAGCCAATTTCAATTACCTCCTGCCAGCCCCTCCCCAGGCAAAAGGTGTCCCCGTCGTGCGCTGCCCTAGTAGGTACAGTCCGTGCGAACAGCTCGGCTCCGATAACAAGTAACGGGGGGAGGAAGATGATGCTCAACTATGGCGAAGTTTAGGAGCCACCCCCGTCCCCATCCCTCAAAGCGGTGCGGCCCCTCCGTGCGACACCAGCTTGCGGGCATCAGCCGCGGGGCACCCAGCCACCCTGCCCGGACCCTGGAGCGCCCGTTCTGCGCAGGGGGGCTCGGGTCCGTCCCGCGGCGGGTGCCGGGAGCCGCAGCGCCTTACGCCGGGGACAGCACCCAGGTGCCCCTGCAAGGCAGGAGGCGCGGGGGAAGAGCGACCCACAGGATGCCTCCCCCGGCGCTGCGGCGGGTGCCGGCTCCCCCCGCGGACCTTAGCCCGGCTCCCCAGTGTCCCGGGGCTCCTCCCCCGCGGGGCTCCTAGCGCCGTGTCCTCCCCTCACCTCGGTAGCGGCGGAAGGCGGCGTGGCAGGCGGCGAGCAGCAGGACGGCGCCCAGCGCCAGCGCCTTGGCGCTCCTCACGCTGAAGTAGTGGTTGATCTCCCGCTTGCCTAGGGTGTAGGCCAGGGCCGCCATCTTGGCTCCTCCATGACAACAGCGTGCGATGGAGCGGGCGGGCGCAGCGGGGCAGCACTGGGTCTCCGGCGGCGGCGAAGGGGAAAGGAGTCTCCGCTGCTGCCGCCGGCGCCAGTAGCGCCGCGGAGCGGTGCCCGACACCCCCGCGGACGGCGAGAGGACGCCCCCCGCCCAGCCCAGCGGCGCAGCCCTCTGCCCCTGGCAGCGCCGCTTCACTTCAGCCGCCAGCAGTGGGCCGTCCCTTCCTTCCCCGCCCCGCGCTGCGCCGCCTGTTGCCTCCCCCAGCGCGCCTCCGCCCTGGCCGCGGGGCCCTGCAGCTGCTCCGGAGCATAGGCCAGGGGCGGGGCCCGGGGCTCGCGTCGGGCAGGCGTGTGGCTGCTGCTGGCGGCTGGGGACAGTTTTCCTGGGCTGATGTTATAACCCGACCCCTTCCCCGGGGCTCGGTGGTGGCCAAGCGGCCCTTCCTGCCCTCGACACCTGCCCAGCAGCGAGGCAGGCACCGCACCTGGGATTGGGGGGCGCTAACATCCTCTGCCCTGTGGCAGGCACGCTGGGGCGCAGCTACTGAAGCCCTTCGGGAACCCTGGGGAGTCGCTCATATTAGTCATGTACACACACTAGGACATCCCCTCGTGCAAGTGGGGCCAGTGAGGGGTTGTGTCACCACCTTCTTCCCTGCAACGTCGGGTTCCTCACGCTGGAGCACCTAACCTGGGCTAGGCCTGGGCCCCTCCCAAACAGCATGCCCATCACACTCTGAGTGTCTGCAGATAGCTGCAGCCAGAGGTGGCTTCCACCACTCCTGGTTACCAGGTGCAGGGTGCTCCCAACACACTCTCAGTCCTACATTTCCCCCCCAAAAACCGTGTGTTCTGCAGTGTGCAGCCCTCTCCTGGGCAGTTCATGTAGTTTAGGTCCATTGCCCCTGTAAGGGAACAATATTCAGCTGTTTGCTGCTTTAATTGAAGTTACCCAAAGTTGAATGGCATAGTTTGATTAAAGACTAAAATAAGTTTATTTAACTTAAGTCAGTACAAGTACAAGGCATTAAAGTAAAAAATGATTATGAGAGAAAAAGATCAAACGCTTTCTAGTCCTATCACTTAAACTAAACTTGGTTCAAGATAAAATTCCTACCACATGCTCCCAGCAATAGGGCTGACCACATTTCAGGTCAGTCTCTCTCCCAAAATCAAGTAGCTGCTTCCTTTGTTTTCTTAGGGGAGGATACCTTGGGGTGTTTTTGCCCCTCGCTTTATAAACTAGTCTCCCTTTCAAATACATTTTCCTGGGGAGTAAACAAGGAGTCTCCTGGTGGAAGAGTTTCCATGTTTCTTGCTAAAATACTGATGTTTGTTCTTGCCCCACTTCCTTGCCAAAGAATGGCCATTTGACAGGTGATTGTTCATCTAACTTTGATGACAGCTGGTTAGAGGAATCAGCTTGTCCTTTGTCTTTCAGAAACTGGTTTATCCAGACTTGTCTGGTAAACACATTTCAGATCTAATTTTAGCTTATGTTTATACCTTTACATATAATGTTGCTACAAACATTTCACCATGATACTATCGACCAGTGAGTTATTAGTTTTCAAATGATACTTCATAAACTTTAAAAAAAAAAGCATATTTTGTACAAAACTTATTAGAATATTGTGTAGGATGTGAATACAGGGGTGCATTCAGTCACGCACACTCAATAAACAGAGCAAGAACCCTTTCCTCACCTCCTGTCAATGCATTTTGCTGAAATTCATAAAGAGATCTAGAGGCACAGATAGCTGAAAAAAAGACCTTGTGCAGTGAAACTAAGAGGTGTGTGTGGCCTAAGTGTATTGGTTAATTTTAGGTTTGGCAGATTAGATTTTTGTCAGTAAGTGTTGCTTTCATCCTACGCACACAAACTGACCAAAAAAAAAAAAAAATTCATCGATAACAATCAAAATTTACAGATAGGCACAATAAGAAAAATGCTGCTTGAGAACTCAGAGTCTGATTTAAAGATATTTACTTTGTATCTTGTGACATAGGATGTTGACAATTTGTGTTTGGTTATAAAGCTTTAACTTTTTGAGTCACACTAATTATTGTCTGACACTCCCCCATAATTTTGTACTGTGAAAAATTAAATGGATAAAAATCTAAAAAACAGCTTTAAACCCCATCACTATTATCCCTGAAAGTTATAAAAAAAATTAAATTCTGCTAAACCTGTTTAATTTGTATTATGAGACTCTCTTGTCAGCATCAGGTGCCCATTGTGCTAAGCACTGCATATAGGAAAACACTCTGTCCCAAAGAGTTTACAATCCAAGGCTCCAGTCCTACAAACACTGTACTGCCCAGAGCCCCCATCCCCTCCTGCACCCCGATCCTCTGCCTCAGCCCTGAGCCCCTTCCAACACCCAAACTCCTGCTGCTTCTGCAGGGGAGGGGCACGGTGGTCCGAGACTGCCCCAGCAGCGGCTGATGCAGAAGTCCTGGAAAGTCATGGAATCCGTGACCTCCGAGACAGACTCGCAGCCTTAGTCATCATCAATAACAATATGGGCTTTCACACATACCCAAGGCATGCAATTAGAAATTAACTACAAGCCTGAAAGCGTTGCTTAGTTTTGGAAAAACCTAACTTCTCTCTCTTAAAAAGGTCTCCAGGAAAATTTATGTTTCTGGGATCCCAGAAATCAAAATCTTATTACTAGAAAATGCAGAACGGTGTCATGCAGTTTAACTATCTTGACTTGTGTGTTGGGTATGAATTCAGTGGAAAGGGATAGGCAATGTTGAATAATGTGAAAGAATAATGGCTTGTAGTTATGCTGGATCAAAGTCTATAGCTAAGGCTACGTCTACACTACCCGCCTGAATCGGCGGGTAGAAATCGATCTCTCGGGGATCGAATTACCGCGTCTCGTCGGGACGCGACATTCGATCCCCGAATCGACGCTTGTACTCCACCAGCGGAGGTAGGAGTAAGCGCCGTCGACGGGGGAGCTGCCGAGGTCGATTTGCCGCCATCCTCACAGCGGGATAAGTCGGCTCCGATACGTCGAATTCAGCTACGCTATTCGCGTAGCTGAATTTGCGTATCTTAACTCCCCCTTTCCTCCTCCCCCATAGTGAGGACGTAGCCTAAGACAGCTGAAACATTTCCCTCTGAGAAGGTAAGTGTCATTATGTATAAAGTCAAGGATAGTTGTTTTTCAGTAAATTGCCTGTTGCAGTGTGAGATGGTTACAAAGCTCAAAGGGGAGCAGCTATTTCATTACTAAACAGCAGTTCTCAGGAATCGGACATTCTTCACATTTGTTAAAACAGAAACAAGTGCCTTCCTCAGTAGCAGCTTCCTCTATTTGCTTAACTCTGGAGAGGGGGTTAGATCCTCCTCTGGTGTAAATATACCTACTTCCATTGACTTCAATAGTGCTACAGTGATTTACACAGGCTGAGGATCTGGTCAATGTGTTTTGGAATATTTTAGAGAGCTTACCTGTTCAGTATTGCTAAGCATCAGTAACAATAGTAGGCCATTATAAACCTTGTTCCGAAGGCCATTGATGCATACTCTTCAGACTCTAATCACTCACACTCTAACAAGACTTAGCAATATTCTGGGCACTTGGCTCTCTGTCCCCCCATTGGCAATCACCAGCCCCTGTTAGGCACTCTTTGGGTTTGGGAAAAGGGAGGAATTGAAATCCCTGTGTCCCTACCAGAGAGCCAGTCTAACTCCCGCTGAATGGGAATATTTCCATGGGCTTCAGTGGGAGTTGGCTTGAGATCCAGATACTGAAGCAATTACTCTACTCGTAACTCCTCTGAAATAAAAAGAGATCACAGTCCTTTTCTCTGATATGTCCCAGTAGCAACTACCCTGCTTAACAGTCTCAACAGCTAATTCCAGTTATCTTAAATGAAATCAGATAACACTGTCATGCTGTAGATAACAGAGAGAAAGGCAGAAAATAAAGATTTTAGAGTGGTAGCCCTGTTAGTCTGTATCAGCAAAAAGAACAAGGAGTACTTGTGGCACCTTAGGGTACCGGATCGGCGGGTAGCAATCGATCTATTGGGGATTGATTTCTGATCACTCTCCCATCGACTGCTGAACTCCAGCTCGGCGAGACGCGGAAGCAAAGTCGACGGGGAGCAGCGGCCATTGATCCCGCACCGCGAGGATGCAAAGTAAGTGATTCTAAGTCGATCTAAGATACGCAACTTCAGCTACGAGAATAGCGTAGCTGAAATCGACGTATCTTAGATCGATCCCCCCCCAGTGTAGACCAGGCCTTAGAGACTAACAAATTTATTTAGGCATAAGCTTTCGTGGGCTAAAACCCACTTAATGGGATGCATGCAGTGGAAAATACATTAGGAAGATACATATACACAGAGAACATGAAAAATTCGGTGTTGCCTTACCAACTATAATGAGACTAATCAATTAAGGTGGGCTATTATCAGCAGGAGAAAAAAAACTTTTGTAGTGATAATCAGGATGGCCCATTGTAACAGGAGGGGGAAAATTAGCATGTGGAAATAGTTTTTACTTCGTGTAATGACCCATCCACTCCTAGTTTTTATTCAAGCTTAATTTAATGGTGTCCAGTTTGCAAATTAATTCCAATTCTGCAGTTTTTCGTTGGAGTCTGTTTTTGAAGTTTTTTTGTTGGAGAATTGCGACTTTTAGGTCTGTAATTGAGTGACCAGGGAGGTTGAAGTGTTCTCCGACTGGCTTTTGAATGTTATAATTCTTGACGTCTGATTTGTGTCCATTTATTCTTTTGCATAGAGACTGTCCGGTTTGGCCAATGTACATGGTAGAGGGGCATTGCTGGCACATGATGGCATATATCACATTAGTAGATGTGCAGGTGAACGAGCCTCTGATGGTGTGGCCGATGTGATTAGGTTCTATGATGGTGTCCCTTGAATAGATATGTGGACAGTTGGCAACGGGCTTTGTTGCAACGATAGGTTCCTGGGTTAGTGTTTTTGTTGTATGGTGTGTGGTTGCTGGTGAGTATTTGCTTCAGATTTGGGGGCTGTCTGTAAGCGAGGACTGGCCTGTCTCCCAAGATCTGTGGGAGTGAGGGATCGTCCTTCAGGATAGGTTGTAGATCCTTGATGATGCGCTGGAGAGGTTTTAGTTGGGGGCTGAAGGTGACGGCTAGTGGCGTTCTGTTACTTTCTTTGTTGGGCCTGTCCTGGAGTAGGTGACTTCTG